ATTCACTAAAACGCGATATTTGCACAAAAAAGCACTTTTTTGTTGTTTTTCGTTTACAAAGTCCGATTGTTTGTATAAAAAGTTCATTTCCTTTGTTCCTTTGTTTATGTCATAGAATGCCTTTGTTATATCACAATGAAGCGCTAAATGATATTTACCCAGTTCATCCATTTAGATAAGAATCTTGCGCGTGGGAGGGAACAAAAGTTGTCTTACGCCACCTTGTGTCTCACATTGTTGGATTTCCTAGTGAGCGCTTTCCGGTTAACTCCCATCATTATTTTTTTTTAGTTTATTTGAGAGCAAAGTCTTTAAACCAGGCAACAGTTGACCCTCGGGCCACAGACGGCCCACCAAGTCATTCAGTGTGGCCCATGTCGACACTCCCACCGAGCATAACATCCTAATCCGACAGTTTATGTTTGAAAGGCGCTCAAATGGATAAAAAACACATGTTTTTGCTCGTGTATCTGCGTGAAATCTTTCGCTTTTTGCTCGGTGCATTTATTACATACAGTAAGGCTATGCCATGGGTGGGCAACTTTTCTAGTCGGCGGGCCAGATGTGGGGAAATGAAGTACTCGGCGGGCCGGATTATTACAAAAAATACTTCGGTATCCAATCTTTGTTAAATGCTGGACACTCTCTGAGTATAGCGATCAGCAACTTTCAGGAATGGTGCGTTGGACCACATCACAGAGTATGGTTGGATACAGTCAGCGGATCGGTGTTGCCCACCCCTGGGCTAGGCGATAGCCGCACTATCTTCTCTTGCCTTTCCGGCTGAATTGTTTTGACTCTTCTAGCTATATGTCCGAAGTTGGTTATTCGACCCATCGACAAAAAATGTCGCACACCCCTGGCTCAAACAATACCCGACTTTGTTTGTGATCTTCAGTCAACAGAAACTTCACCTCGTTTTAATCTTGGTTTTAAATCATTGAATTCTGACAGGACTATCGCCTCCACTGCGGTTTAAGTGTTGTTTGACGATACGTGAGCTAGCAAGTTTTTGACTTTTCGTACAATAGGAATATTTCTTTCTTCTGCCTAGTGTCGTATTAGTGGTTACTATTAAGTCGATACTCCTGTAGTATGTGAACAAAGATGGCGGACACCGGAACGTGGTATGTGTACCAGGTTAGGATTGAGCCTTAATTTTATCCCAATTTTCTTTATTTTTGTTCTATTACGAGTTCGGAGACCAGCTAAGTGACTCCCGTAGTATTTGTACCTGAAATTATGGCCTAACCCCAACCGCCATCTTGGTTCACATACTATGGGAATACTCTCAGTACTCTTCCCACTTTCGACTTTTAGTCGAAGGCTTAGGACTTTGCTTTGATTAAACTTGAATTTCTTCGATCACTACTCTTTTCACATTTAGTTGATGGCCTGGGACCTTGCGTTATATCTAATTGTGTACAAGCGCGCTTATAGCACTTAGCATGCCAGATCATTGTAAAACCTATGTAGGTTATCTTTTAGCTTTTAATGCGAGGCTCTGGACCAGAGGCGGGCAAGGTATTTTGCTCCCTTAGACTGGCGGGCCATGTGAGGATGGCCTAAAAGTTACATTTTATGAACAATATTTACAGTGGTACACACAAAGCAAAAGTGAAAAACACTAAGCCTCGTGCCAAAACAAAAAATAGCGGAATATGTATTTGGTTATATTTAGGCGATCTACATGTGTTAATATAGACTTTCGGGTTTAAAGTGAAACTTGCGGAAGCCTGCCTTATACAAGCATTGACCAAATTCATTCGTCAACTCACGCCTCTTGTAGTGACGTCATAAGCAAATAACTTCGACCGGTGCGAAATTTGAAAAATTCGTGTAAAAACATTTATTAACGCTCTGTAAATTCTATAAATAATAAATGATATTTACACTGGCTTGGTAGAAAATCACTTGACGGAAGATTGAGTTAATGTTTGACTCTGCAAACCCGCTATAAAAAATAATAAAAACGTCAGACACATAGATTATTATCATAGGCAAACAGGCGAGTAATCAGCGCGTTAGAACAGCATATACCAGTGTAGTAACAAGTAAGTCTTACATTCCTGGTTCAAACCCCGTGTCCATGAGTCAGTCAGTCTGTCAATCGTTTATTTGTCGTCACAAAAAACAAATTCACGAAGATCGGTGCAGAGAATAAATAAACTAGTAACGTTAATTGTGTGACAGGAGTAACGAGAGACCTGGTTAGGTCTTCAAGCAGCGAAATCTATAGTGTTTTTACTGGTTTAGTGAAAAACTGATTCGCTACAAACATTGACTATATAATAGTCATGATGGTAAACATATTTTGACCATAACTCAAATATTTTTGGGGAATTAACCCCTTTCCCTCCATCACAAGCTCTCTAGCTTCCATTCCATCTGCAAGTAAATCGAGTTCACAGTATTTGATATTTATAAATAAAGTACGACTAAGCTTATAATATGTTGGAAGGCTAACTGCATTTCAAAGCAGACACTCTCAAAAACGATTGTAAGTATCTTTTGTGTAATATTTATTCTCCTACAAGAAATGAAATGGACGAAAATTTGTATCACATTTATATCCAGTGTGGAATACATGTTAATTGCATTTCGAACAACACCATTTCAATTTCCATTGTGTACAATAATCCCCCCCCCCACATTCCCCCAAAAATGTAAAATAGAAAAATAGAAATCAAATTTGGAAAGATCGAAATGTGATTGCATTTCAATTGCATATGTACTATACTTCCCCCCTCCCAAAAAAAAAATTAAAATTATTATTCAGATTGGGATGTGATAACAATTTCAGTTGCCATAGGCATAGTGTATGATGGTTTGCAACACCAGAAAATACCAAACAAGGAAAAATTTCCTTGTGGGAAGTTGGAATGTGTTAACATTTTTAATTGCATTTTACTTCCGTTGTTTCGTTGACGTCGGCTTTCATGTTTGCAAATATTTGCGAACGTCGCCGAAATAAAACAAACTTTCAGACGAAGCGATGTGATAACATTTTTATGGTCGCTGTGTTTAACATTCTTTCAAAGATTACACGCGGAATGAATCGTAAAATTCAGTGAATAGATGCGTGGCAGGTACAAAAATGTTTCACAGCGCGGTTCTCTTGGAACAAGAGTCTGTACAGCGAGCGCTCCAGATTGTATGTTACCAATATGGAGATGACTAATTTTGTTCGTATTTTTACATATAGTTGTGTAAAGGGACTGAAACCCATGGGCGGCAGAGGTATATTCACTTGGCTAACACAGACATTCCCCGAACTCGTAATAGTAATAGAACTAAAATAAGGAAAATCGGAACAGAATTATGGGCTAACCTGGTAATATGCTACGGGAGTACCGTACAGCAGTATGATCTTAAGCTTTTCATTTCATGGGACACTGATACGTACATACGCCACTTCCTGGATAATCAAATGTAATAATATTGAATTTAGAATATTATTCGCTAGTCTACTTTACTCCTGAGTGAGTGCCCGTAACTTTACTCAGAGATGAGTCTCCTTTACTTCTGAGTGAGTGCCTGTGACTTTACTCCGAGATAAGTCTCCTTTACTTCTGAGTGAGTGCCCGTAAGTTTGCTTAGACAGAGTTTCCTTGCCTTTGTATTGAGCGCGCACGCAAATTCACAGACACATCGATCTTACAGGCTATTTCTAATGCTTCTGTTCGTGCTAAGAATCCATTTTCGTCAAGCTTTACTTAAGCAGGCGAGGTTTGTCAAATGACATTCCGGCTTACGTGACCATCATACGGAACCGACGAGCGAAAATGGGTCATCAGTGCGGGTCATGTATCGGTCATTTGTAGGCTTAGGGTTTACGCTGGATCGGAAACCCAATGAAACATTCCAGGCTGACATGGGCAAACAACGTCCCGCGGGCCAAATCCGGCCCGTTGGGTAATTTAATCTGGCCCGCCTGATATTGCCATGTTTTAACTAAAGATAGCTCAAGGAATTTGTTGATATTGTAACGTCACACTCACATTTCCCGCCAGTCGAGATGAGCATAATTTTTCGCCTCATTTAAAAAAAAACTTCGCACCTCTGTTCCAGATTCTCAACGAACCCATTTCGAATCGAATAGTGAATTATTCGAATCGGTTTTTGTCCATCACAATTCCATCAGTATCGGTCATGTATCGGCTTTAAACCTCTACGATGGAGCGAAACCCCATTGAAACAATCCAGAGTCTCGTCACATTAAAAAAAATTATTCGTGAAATTTTTGACTCTTTTTATATCGTCAATACCATTTATTACTTATCGATCTTTATCGAGTATGTTATAAGTATGTTGATAGGTATTTGTCTGTCTGTTTGTCTGTTAGATGCACGCGATATCTCACGAAAGCGAGGTTGAATCTGCTCCAAATTTTGCATGTGCATTCATCATATCTCGGACCAGAAGCCTATTGATTTTGGATTAATTCTGTCATTTAATTAGCGAGTAATTAATTAATTAGTGATGAGACACAAGGTGTCACTATGAAGTAAGAGCGCTGTTTTGGGAAATCCCATCTTTCGATCGATAAGTCTTCGGTCTCTAACCTATATACTCGTTGCTTCTTTGGACAGTTACAAATTAACACAAGTCAGTATTTTAGTTAGTTAGCGAATAGCTCGCGGAGCCTCTAGGTTTCCCTTATGCAGCCCTGGGACCATGGATTTGCGAAGGGAATTCTGAAATTTCTAATTGCCAGGATGACAGATAGGGGTTGGAACATGGGGTTTCAAATGTTTTCAAAGTCTAAAACGCGTTTCAGGGTACGAAAATATGCTGTTTATGATACAGAAAAATGCTATATTCAAATTTCAAAGGGTAGAACAGGTCTGCTTTTATATCATTTGCCTACCTGACTTAGTCTTGGCTTTAGTCTCAGTGTACCAATATGGAGATAACTCGTAATAGAACTAAAATAAGGAGAACCGTAACCTGGTACACATACTACTGCCGCTAAACTACCATGTTTTCTCTTATTCCAGGATTTCGAACTACTCGTCCTGTTTTATCTAAAATGGGATGTTTTGTCTGTGACGGCTATCGACTTCGTAGACCAGATCCTACATAGACTGGACATCGGTGTCGAAAACACAAGGGTTGCAAGGAAACATGCTAATACTTTCATCCATCTGTGCTATACCGGTGAGTTTTGTGACGTAATGATGCTGATGACGTCATTTTGTGATTTTTTTAAGAAAGGTTTTTAGTCGAGCGTGCTATACTGCTGAGTTTTGTGACGTAATCATGCTGATGACGTCATTTTGTGTTTTTTTAAGAAAGGTTTTTAGGCGAGCGTACTATATATATATTCTTATACTGGTGAGTTTTTGACGTAATCATACTAATGACGTCATTCCGTGATTTTTTGAGAAAGCTTTTTGGGCTAGTGTGCTATACTGGTAAGTTTATTACGTAATCATGCTGATGATGATGACGTCTTTCCATGATTTTTTTTTAAAAGCTTTATTTTGTGAGTAATTTGTTTCACTCTGTGTGTCTAGTGCAGGACTACTAAACTATTTGTACCGAAGGTCCGCATACAAAACTTCAAAATTATTTGGGTCCGGTCTTTCCAGAATTTATATTTAGGCATCCTTAAACACGCACTTTCTCAACCGGCGAATGATTATAAAAGAAATCTTCAAAAGTCGGGCTAAAATAAAGAATTAGGTGCGGTCCGAATCAAATACTTGAAAGATCCGGATTCGGATTTCGGTTCGCCAGTTGAGTAGCCCTGACTTAGTGTATTTCTAACTACGATTACTTGACTTGACTTCTGATTTACTGTAACTTTAAATCAGCGTGGCCCCGCACAGCAATCGCCCACGGAGAAAATCCATTAGAAAGGAATTTAGGTATGCTGGCCCACTTATATACGATCAAGTGTGTTTTATAGAAGGCCAAGCGTTTTCTCGCGTTCATTTGAAATTTGGGTTGTATAATGTTGTCATAATAGGTTTTATTTATACTCTGTTACGCCATAGTAGAAAAATGCTTTTATTAGAGAATCAGTCTTCATTAACAGCTTCATAATAATGCTGTTTGTTATGAAATAAAGAAACAACTGAAACTCGTTTGTGAAAACATAATGAATATCCTCTGGGTGGTTTATCTAGTCATAATAACCCAAAATATTCTATATCTTAGAAAAAAAAATTACGGAATGAACCGATGGTGGCCATGGGTCGGGTCGGCAGCAATAGCTGTTACAATCTAACTGACAATGAGAACCCCCCCCCCCCCCCCCCCTGTTCCAAATATCGAACTTTGAACAGGTTGACATCATAGTATCCGGCGAATGAAAGTGATTGTCTTCAAAAATAGAAATAAATTTGAATGAATTTGCCGCCATTATGGAGGAATTTTGAATTAATTTTATTCGGCACGTCTGATGTTTTCGATATGTACTTTATAAAAGTCGTAACGTATTCTAAAATTTTATGGTTACTCGATTATAAGCAGCTCTATGGGGAAATCGAGAAATAGTATTTTCATCGCTCATTCTTCAGTATGTGAGAAATACGTTAATAACATAACATAGTTTCCACTTTTTGAAATAATTACATTTTCGACGAATTTACTAAATATGTTCTGATTTGGGAGTCAATGGATGTCGTCCCGACGTTTCTTGTTTATTTCCGTAACAATGACGAACCAGCAAACACTATTTTTTGCAGCCGCTCAAACCCTTCGTTTCCTCGGGCAGATATTCAGATGCAACTTATCCCAGAAATGAGTCTTTTTGTCCGAATGCCCATCACCTCGTCTGGATCAAATTTGATATAATAATGAAAATTTCAACCCCCAAGCAACTCCTCTGTAGAGAAAATGGAAAAGCTTTCGCTGGAATGCCAACGTGATATCTCATTACCCTTGAACTCGGGGTCGCGCATTTTAAGTTAAGTTCATGTAACCTAACACTTGTACCTGTAATCTAAGAAATTACGTCATTACTGCAGAATTTGCTTCAAGCAAGTCCACGTTCGCCCCCTCAGAAATAAAAAACTCATCTCTGCGTGAAGTTACGGGCACTCACTCTGAAAGAAGACGTATCTCTGGTCAAAGTTTGTGACAGCAACTAAAATGCCAAAGAGTTACGAGAACTACACAGATTTATGGTGGTTCATTATACGCGCTTACTCGGAAGTAAATTACCGTAAAAACGCTACTTAAGAAATTAATTAGTTTCGGAAACCCCTTCATCGGGGGCGTAGCCAAGGGGTGGTTTTGGGGGTCGGAACCTCCTCCCCCCTCTTTGAAGTGTAAAAAAAGGAAAGCATCGCATGGAACGCATTTTTCGTGTAGTGTAGATTTAACTCTGAGCAATGTTACGAATGCAACACCGCCACTGTGGCCATATTGAATTGAATTATTACTCTCCAGTAAACGCCAATTGCCAAAGACCTGAAGTATTCGAAGTCAATACTTGCAGGAAACAGTTGTGAGATAGCCAATCGATATAGATCAAAATGCGCGCTTGTATATCTTGTAACTTTGACAGCGGAGTATGCAAGATGTCAGTGGCTGCTTTATCTAGCCTTGTTCGGAGCAAAATGCACGAGTAAGAGTCGTATTACGTCATTATACAAAAAAAATTTGACACCCCAAAAATTTGGGCTAGCTACGCTATTGGTATTTATGTCTCTATCCGGATTATTTTCGCCCCAACAAAAACGCTTATTATCGCCTCTATAATTTCTTTCACTGGCGACAGTTCTTATGGCAATTAATGGTTTCTATTCAAATAATTCAATCATTCTTAAATCACAATGCTCTTATAGTTGACGTAATAATCAATGTTTGTCATGTCACAAACGCTTGAAATTCTTGAATCAAATCAACCGAAGCTTTTCCCACGGTTCGCCATACTTTGTTTATTTTTGTTAATTATGATTTTAAAAACACTCTGAACGGTGACTACCATTTTATAGTATTTCAAATTTTATCATAATCAAAATAATCCTTATTGTTTTATTTTTTTCTTAAAATTCATCGCTAATCGTTTTTGCAGAATGCGCGTTTTATTTTTGTCCCTAAAATTGTTTTTAAAAAAAGTATCAAAATACCGTTATTTAGCGTTTTTTAATAACCTACAAAAAAACGATTATTTTGTAATTTTTTTGGCAGCATCGTTTCGCAGATACTAGTTATTAGAGCGTAAAATTCTTGAATAAATCTTTAGGTTTCTGGGTGGCCATTCCGATCGGGAAATATTTGGTAGTTATTATACACAACTGATGATAATACAATGATAATGAATGGCACTGAGACTATGATTATCTCTGGCCGATTGTAGGCAGCGTATATTGCATGATCTGGTATTGAAACATGAAGAATTCCTGGTTTTAATTTGTTTTTATAGAATTTCAAACCTTGTGTATGAGCAAGTTGCTACTGGTAGAGAAAAGCAATTTGTCTTGCGAAAACACGACATCCCCCCCTTGAACTAAAAAAAAATGCCAATGATGCCTCACTGAGCCCATTTGTGAAGTCAATTTTAAAGTTTTTTTTTTAAATTGTAACCATTAGGCTCTAAAACAAAGGCGTGCAACATACGGCTCTCAGGCCACAGCACGGCCCGCGTTACCTATTTACGTGGCCCGCTAAAGACTTCATAGCCTATAAATTAAAAAAAAAAATCTGAATTGTAACAGCATCATTAGCATTTTCAGTTTCATATATAACAATTTTTCGCAGCTGGAAACGCTCGTTACACCCTCAAGAGCCTTCTACGGTCTATATTGGCAAATATAAATTTCAGAACACCTCCCTCTCCCTTAGAAAAATTCTTGGCTACGCTCCTGGTGATGAGGGGTTGTTTTTACAAAACTTTACTTTGTACAAGACTCGAGACATTGTTTTATAGCTACCATGTTTTGGGAAAACCTGTCACTTCGGGGAAGCACTGCACAGAGGCGTAGCAGGAAATTTTCAGCGATTGGGGGATTGAAATTTATAATTGCCAAGTTAGACAGCTAGCTAAAAAGTGGGTTTTCAAGACTCTTCAAGGTATAAAAAGTGTTTCAAGCAACGAAAAATCGCCATGAATGATACATAAAAATATTTTTTTTTACATTTCGAATAATAGGGGGGGGGGGGGCGGATTTCCGACTCTCGCTTCTCATGGCTACGCACTGCGTTACAAGCTACGGCCATAAGTGATACGGGTAAATGCTTTTTTTTCGCATTTCGAAAAGGGAGACGGGTTACTGACACCCAACGTCATGCTTCGCTCCGTTACTGAACATTATCGAAAGTATATTTTTGTAGCGTTTTCTGTCTGACTTTTTCCCCCTAGCATTTCACAACAAAAAGATAAGCAGGTTTCGGTTTTGATTTCGCGAAATTTTTCAATTTCCGCCCGGTTGTAATTTTTCCCCCAAAAATTCAAGGTCAATTGCAATAAAGTAAACTATAAATGTAGTTTTTCGGTTTTATCACGATTGAGTGAACTCTATCTTCCAATAAGTTATAAGTTTGGTTGACAAACTGGTCTGTCGAGCCTTACCCAGTGGGCTTACAATAAATTTCAATTTTGGGCAGTGATACACAAAAATTCTGTAAATCCAATATTACATAGAAATTATTTTCCTAATGGTTTTTGTCCCTGTATCAAACAATCATACATTACGTTAATTTCAACTTTAGTACCTGCATTATTCTCGCAAATCCGGTTATTTTATTGCGTCATTATAATTGCGCAAGCTAACTACGTGTACTGGTACGTTCGGCTGTTCAATCTTTTTACCGTCACTTGTACCAGGGTGGCGTTCGCACTAGTTCAATTACTGGTACAAATTAAATGTCGCAACGTGTTCAGACTTTTTCACTCATATCATATTGTTGATGTTCCTTTACAAGTTCGGTATTCCTGAAGTATGCGCACCAAGATGTCGCATAACCTGAACCCTAACCTGGTACACAACTTGAGTTCAGGTTGCGCGCCATCTTGGTGCGCATACTTCAGGAGGTCCACAAGTTATTACGTAATTGAATTTTAAAAATTTATTCTTCTCAATATTCAATTCGGCGCTCCTGTAGTATTCGTATCAAGATGGCGCACAGCCTGCCAACCCTAACCTGGTACACATACTATGTTCAGGTTGTGCGCCATCTTGGAACGAATACTACGGAAGCGCCTT